CCCCCTGGGCCCCAGCCCTGGACACCCCTGTTCTTTCCCACTTGGACTAAGGAGCTCCACTGGCCATCCCCCTCCCCATGCAGTCCTGGCTCAGGGTCTCTACTCTCCCAATACTGCTTTCTGTGGCGGCTCCTCCCAACCATCGTCCTGCCCCTCAGCCAGTGCCACCCTTCCTGGGAGCACCCTCTGAAGACACAAAGCAACCGGGCAGGGGATGGCAGCTCCCTGCCACCTGAGGGTTCAAGCTCCTCATCTTCCTCCTGCACCTGAGGAGGTGGGGTCTCCTTTCCTGTGCTCCTCACTCCTGCTCCTGCATAAGGGGGAATATTCTCTCTCTCTCTGTTTGGGCACATCCCTTTGGCCCAGCAGTATGCCCAAGTTTCTGCACCTTAGATTATGCCTCCTCGCTGGCCTTCCCCAGGGTAACCATTCACTTCCTTTCCTTCCATTTCCCACAGGTGTCCCCAAAGACAGCACTCCTGCCTGACAGCTGGCACTGACACTCATGCCCTGTCCTCATTGGCCAACCCTCCTCTCCTGGGATCACCAGCTCCTTGGCCCAGCTCCTCCCCCACCCGTCTCCTGGGCCCCAGAGGTCCCTGCATGCTCTGAGCTCACGAACTCGCTTTCCCTGGAGCCCAGCACCCCCAGCTTGCTCGCTCCTCCCCTCCTTCTCTGCACACCCCTTGGCCTTTTCCCTCCCATCCCTAACAGGCTCCCTCAAAGGGGACCCACGGCCTCCTCTGGAAGAGAATCACAGCTGATGGCCCACTGGCTAAATCTCACCTGTATACATTTGGTATATATTGGGGCCAATTTGGAACAATTAAGTGAATTTTACATAAAACTGCAGACACTGGGCTGCTGTCACAGGCACTGAAGGGCTGGCATTCTTGTAGGGCTGGGATGCAGAAGCTGTGTCCCCGAGAGAGCACTCAGCTCCCTGAACCCACTCTGTCCCCAACTCACAGGCGTCTGCCCATCTGCTTGCAGGCAGCTGGCTGCAGGAAGGGCAACCACGCCCACAAATTTCTCCCCTGGTGATGTTAGCTGTGTTGGGGGTGCCATCTGCTACTGCCAGGAGGAATACTGCTGTGTCCATCCTTCTAAATCCATACCTCTCCTGGGTTTTGGTCATAAATTTCTAACTACCTCCAGCCCCAAGGTTCTCCTGACAACTCAGCTCTTCCTCTGGGCTCCCCTTCCTGGCCAAACACCCCCAGACCAGGAACAGAGTGTGTAGCCAGATCACCATTGGGCCTTAAGGGATCTGCCCTGTGTCATCAGCTGGATGCAATTCTGTCACTGCATCCCAGATCAATGACCCCTGATTCCAGTTTAGACGGGTGGACATCCAGGAAAAGATGGCTTAGCCTGGTGTCCTGCTTTCTTCCCATGTCTCTGGACACAGTGTAACATGTGAAAATAATGTGTGGGTCCCACGGTCAGAAGGCCCCAGGTCCAAATCCCACCTTCGCCTGTTACCAGCCCTGTGACCTTGGCAAGTCACTGAGCCTCCGCTCATGTCCACGGTGTGATGAACCAGAAGTGCTCGGGGGTTGGCGTGGAGCGGCAATAGGCAGTCAGGATGTCATGGGGCCCTCTCTGCGTGGGGTCTAACCCCACCCCTGCCATAGCAAGGCATGTGAGGACGATTTCACGCGGCACATCTTACTAAAGCTTTGTTCCCACTGCAGTGGGGGCCACCCAGAGGGACAGGGCCAGAGACCAACACTTTTCCTGCCCTTCTCCTTGTGCCAGGAATGAGTGCAAGGTGCTGGTGTCCGGAGTCTGATTGATGTCTTGTGGGAGAAACTTGACTTGTGAGTGGATCTCACACGCCTAAAATAACTTTTGGGGGAGGGGGGTTAAGTCCAGAGGAGGCTTTTGTTGGGCCTTCTCAAGAACTTTCACTGACCCCGAAGGATTCTTCCTATGTGAAGCAAAGAGAAGCCGTCACATCAGCTTCGGGAACTGTTTCCTGATTGGGGTCCACCCCTGGGTGTCAGTGTCCACTCTAAAATCCCATCTGTTAGTGGCATTTTCTGCCTCAGCCTGTCTTCGCAGGGTAAGGAGATGCTACAGTATTAATCGATTTCAAGGGTTTTGAACAAATAGCCATAAATATTTAAGCCTTCATCTTGCCTATTAGGGGAAATGCCATCTGAGATAATTATTTTGCCTCTGCTTGACAGGAACATTTACACAGGGGACAGGATTAGTTTAACCTTCGAGTGAATTCTGAAACCTTGACCCTGTTTGGTCTTTCTCTAAATTGCAAGTGTTCCTGTGGCCAGGTATGCTAAATTCCTGAACAATTACAAGGAAAAAATGCTAGCAAAAGGTGAAATGACCTAGAATGATTTTTGATTGATTTCCCAAAGCAGTGTGGCTTATATTTTCAATGCAAGTCAACAGAAATGTAAACATAGATTTCTGCTCATTGATATTAATGACGCCTCTATAAGCACTGGGAGGGCAGGGACCCTGTCTGGCCGGTGGCACTGCGCTGAGCACAGGAGCACACAGGATGCCGTGTGGACATGTGAGTGGCTCAGGTTTTGAGCAGGTTAGTGGAGGAAGTAGTGAAAGGCCTGGGGGTAACTCAAGCTTGGGGCCGAAGCCTACTTCTGGTAATTCTCAGTGATGTGGCCTCAGACACAGTGTAAGTCACCTCTGAAACACAGGCCTGATGTCACCTACCCTATGAGCTTTGATGGGGATTAAATGAGGGGAAGTTTATACAGTGCATGGCACACAGCAGACCATACAAATGGCTGCTCGTGCAGTGGACGAAGGCTTCAGACGCAAAGGTATTTAAGTGACAGCACATTATTCTCTGTGTATGAAGACTCCCAAAGTCATCAAGATCTGTTAGAAGTGTGTTCTAGTGTATCTGGCGGCGGGGGGAGTTGCCCAGAATGCAATGCCATCATGATGAGCAGGACAGACTGAAAAGTCCCTTCTTCCCCAGAGATGTCAACCTTAATCCCGGGAACCTGCAAACATATTACCTTTATGCAGTAAAAAGGGCTGCGCAGGTGTACGTGAAGGATGTCAATTGGGGGGGGGTGATCCTAGATATTGTGTTGGGCTCAACATAATTCCAAAGATCCTTGTGGGAGGCAGGAGGGAGGCAGGAGGGCAGGAGCTGCAGACAGAGAGAGATTGCAGGATGCCACGGTGCACAGAGGATGGAAGGTGGCACCGTGGGCCAGGAGTGCAGGTGGCCTCTGGATGGTGGAAAGGGCAAGGGGACGCACTCTCCCCAGAAGCTTCCAGAAGGAACCAGCCTTGCTCACTATTTGACTTTAACTCAGTAAGACTAATTCTGGATTTCTGACCTCTACAACTGTAAGATAATAAGTTTGTGTTATGCTCAGCTGCTACATTTGTGGCTATTTGTTACAGTAGCAATAGAAAACTCATGTTATGAGTAATACTGAACAAAGAGACAATCTTTAATTACAGGGAAAATTTCACCTCTGCTGGACACTGTTATATGCAGAGTTACTAGGCAGCAGGAGCGTCACTGAGCACAGGAGGCTCTTTGTTGGATCAGCAGAGACCTGGTCTTAATGGAGCCGAAGTTTAATGCCACCTTTATTCCTAAAAATACTGCCATTCCCTGTCACTAAACTTTTACGGTGTCTGCTGGGCTGTCAAATGAAGCCTGCACAGCCCATAATTACAGCCTGCCTACAACCTGCCAGCTAGCAGAAAGCTTCAGAATAGATACTGCACCAAGAGGTTGTATTTTTTATTGTACCATCTCTCTATTTGTCATGTTTGAAGAATATGACTATTTAAGTTCACATTATGTCTGGAGGTACTAACAAGTGAGTTCTTTTAGGGGTAAATCCTAATGAGTTATGTACCAAGATCATATGTCACCTTTGGCCATGTAATTCAGAATCTAAGGTTTGAAGCGAACTCTGTTACTACATTGCCTCGGAATATAACTCACGAAAAGGGCCTTAGCAAAAGCATAAAAATCAGCTTCCCCTTTGGAGTGACTACTGCTGAGGGTCTACTAGGTGCAAAATGTTGTATCAAGCACGTGGGTCCTCACAGTGATCCCACAGGGAGGATATTATTATCCCTAACTTGCCACTGAAGAGGGAGGGTTCAGAGAGGTGAAGGGATGCGCCCCAGTTCCCACAGTCTGTAAATAAGAGAGTTAGGATTGGGGGTCCCATTGATCTGACTTCTGAGCTTGTGTCTTTTCACTAGACCTACTGACAAATGTATGTTGGAAAAACGGATATGCTGCTGACAGCTCACAGTGGTCCTGGGAAGAGTTGAGGCTGGCCCAGCTTTGAATTCACAGCTTTTCACCACACTGGAGTTCAGCTGGGAAAAGACTGTTGTATCCACAGGGCTGTGAGTGGACATACCGGGGGCTGTACAATGACCCAGGTCTACAGCCCATTGTGTCCTTGGCATGTAGGATGCTTCAGAAAATAGGGAAAAAATTCCTTAGTAAGTGTTTTAAAAAGACAGCATAGTATGGCCGCTGCAAGAAAGATGCAGATTTTGGAACCACTGTGCTTATGACTGCACTGATTACATCACCATGTGCAGTCTAGAACAATAATCTCTCTGACATTGCTAAGAAGCCATCACTGCAACCACCTCCTAACCCAGCTTTCCCAGGCGGGATATTTTCACAAACACCTCCCTCTACCTTGTGGTGTCTCTCAAATTGTTTTGACCACAACCACCTAACAGATACACTTAACACCATGCAAATGCGATTGGCTCATGTCGACACGTAACAAAAACAAGAGTTCCAGAAAGCAAGAGGTGGCCTTGCTGTGTGCAATGAGCTCTCTTATTTCCTTGTCTATTTTAGTCTATTTTGTCTAGTTCTGTCCGTTTAGTGGGCATGACCCACACATTGACTTAGTGATTTACTGATGACCCTGCCCTCCGTGAGGGGGCTGTGTTTACAGTTTGAGAATTCTGGCCTGGAAAACGAGGAGAACTGGGGTCCCTACCTCCGGGGCGATGTAATCTGGAGTCCCGCAGAAGGTCCTGGTTGTGACTCCATCCATCATGTGTTCCTTGCACATCCCAAAGTCCGCGATTTTGATATGTCCTTCCGAATCCAACATGACATTGTCTAACTTCAGATCCCTGCAAGGAAACAGGGTAACATCAGAGCCCTTCCAAACAACACGTGGTTTGCTCTGGAGCTGGGGAAATAGGACATGTGCATAGCCACCATGTCAGTGGCATCTTAACTATAAATCCCTAGAGGGTGGGGGCCACAGTGATTGTATTTTTGTACCTCCAGAGCCTAATATCGTGCCTGGTTAGTGTAGGTGCTTAGATGGACACTGAACAGATGACCAAATGGCTGAACGAGTGATCCCCAGCTTGACCGTGCCGGTGAACCCAGAGATTCCAATTGAGCAGTGTTGGGGACATGTCAGTCGTTTGATTTAATATCCCACATAGCGGTAGGAGGGGTGCCTGCCACACAGCCAGTGGCCACATCGTGGGTTTAGAACGGCTTATTAGGTCACACACATGTTCTTCCCCTTCTGCCACGGGTCCTTTCAATTATTCTTCAATTAACACTGGAAAATAATCTTTTTTCTTTGGCACCAGACTTTCCCCGCAGCCAACAACAAGAAGAAATTAACTGGGTAGTTTTTCTCCTCGCCTCCCCCAGCCCCTGTGTTCTTCTCTTGCTGGCACCAGTAACAGAAATTGAGTTTCCACCGTTCCTGGACCTCCGTTCCAAATCAAAGGCAGGGGAAGGAGCTGTCAGTGGAGAGGAAAACAAATGTTCTTGTGGCAAGAAGACATGTGTTACAAAATCTCTGAGGACTGGAAATCAGAAGGTGGCTCTGATTTGCCTCCAGGCTGCAGAACACGGGCGGGTTCCAGCAGGTCTCTGTGACCTGGCGGGGTGATCACCACAGAGGTTCAGCAACCCTTACGGTTGTGCTGAAGGTAGGGGAGCTGCGATACACACCTATAAATTATCCCTCTTTTATGCAGAAAGAACAATCCAATGGAAATCTCTGCCGCATAGAATCTGCAAAAGAAAATTAATGTTAATCCTGCTAATAGCGGCTAACTTGACTGAGTGGGGGCATGCCCACCATGTGTCCTCAGGTTTAAGGTTTCTTGGTTGCTTCCCTGGTCTCCTTAATACTTTTTACCCTCAAGTACAGGCATCGAGAGATCAAAGGACGTGAGACCCAGAGGCTTTCAGAGGTCGGCGTCAGCCTGCACACGCTCTGCCCACCCCTAGCCTTTCCCTCTGTCTCCTCCTCAACCCGACTCACCCCAGAGTGACACAGCCAATAAAGTGAGATGGTTTTATTTTTATTGTCAGAGGAAGGTGAGCAGGAAATTTACTAACCATGGAGTCATTTCTAATACCATTGTTTCAAGAGTGGACACTTGTTAGACTATTCTAAGTCAGGAATGTGGTTCAGAACGTTTCTGTTTTCTCATTCATCGACAGATGACACAGGTGTTTGAAAATATAGTTACCCCCGGAAGACCCAGTGCAGCGGGTGAGGCCTCTCTAGCTAGTTTATTCAATCCCCTCAAATGCTGGAATGACTGAAACACACACCATGATTTATGACTGAGTTTACCCATTTTAAATAATTCATAAAAAGTGGTTACGATTATCACTTCAAAGTTCGTAATAGGTTAATATCTGAAACTCAGGCTAAATGCAGAAGGGTATTTAAAAATCTGCGCGGCATTTAGGAGCCTTTGAGGGCTGAGAAGCCACAAGACTGTGCCTGTGCAAATATCACACCCAGGAGGCTTAAAACAAGCTCGCGTGTTTACAAGAGCAGAGGAAAAAGAGTCTGTCCTGATCGGACCAAACTGAAAGGGAGCCGCCTCGGAAGGCAAGTGGAGGAGGGGATGCCAGGGAGACAGATGGGATTATAGGGAAGTCGCACTTTATTTTTCATACGTTTGTGTATTTCTTTAAAAAAACAAAACAAAACAAAACACCTTTTCTATAACATCAAAACAATGAAAGGGTATTAGATAGACACATCTTTGTAACACAGAGGTGGCTATCTTGCTATCTGCCCTTTACGGCTCTGTGACGTTGCTTTATTTTACAATCCGAGTGTTTTAAGGCTTTATAACTACAGCATAAGAGGGGGATAAGCAAAGGCATTTTTTAAAACTAATAAAGTAAAAATAAAGGCCCCAAAATCTCCCTGCACATTTTTTAAGCTTGCTACCGAAGAATTCTGTGTTCTGCCCTCAGTTAACCTTCCCAGGGCAGATAATCCCCACAGGGGCCTAACATTCTTCTGAGTTATCATTTGGACTGAACATCAGCGGGGATCCTATTAATAGCTGCTAACTTGACTCACTGGGGTGCACCCCCACCATGTGTCCTCATGTTTAGGGAAATAAAGCAGGCTTGCTTTTGTCCAGTGTGGTGATACTTCCTGGCTCCTGAGAAGTGGGAGGACATTTCAAGCATCAAAGTCCCTGCATCCCTGTCCACCATGGACAAGTCCCCCAGCTTCACTGGAGTTGACATGTCCCTCCTGAGCTGGGGGCTCCTGCGTCCTGGCACCCGAGGCACATTCCAGTGGGATGCTCCCAACTGAGCTCACGGCTCTTCCCGAAACCACCTCCTTCTCGGTGGCTGTGCCCAGCCAAACCCAAAATGAGACCTCACGGGAACAGATTTCTCTTTTCTCACCCCCCTAGCCTGGATGTTTTTGAGGTACATTTTCCAAGGTCAAGCCCTAACTGCGGCTCTATCCCTTTTCCCCTACAAAGGCTCCCATCCCTCTTTCTCTCTTCCCTCAGCCAAAGGGCTCTGTGAAAACTTAACCTGTTGGTGTCAAGTCCCAACAAAGCCCCTTCCCTCTCCCCAGCCAAGCTCATCCTCCAGGTCCTTCACCCGGAGCTGCTGCCCAGATCCATCCACAACCCTGTACCATCTGCTGTACACGCCGAGCTGAAGGCCAGTCCCGGGATTTGCAGCTTTTCAAATCTCTTCTTGGCTCTTCCCCTACATCTGGGTTCAGGATTTCCTGAGGTTGGCTCCCTCACTCCCTTACTCTCTGGGTGTGCCTCTAAAGTTATAACAAGCCATTATCATTACTGGGGGTCCCCAACTCCAGGTTAAAGCGTGAGCTCCCCCCAGGGCAGGGGCACATCATTCATTTCACACCCACAGTGGCTGACTGATGCACAGAGGGTGTGTGATAATCAACTGACCGATCAGTTGATTCCATCAACAAGGTTCAAAGTGGGTGACAAGGGAATACACCAGCACCTCCAATTTATTGGAAATAGACTAAACCACTCCTTTGAAAAGCTCTAGATTAGTGATTTTCAGCCAAGGTGCTGCAAAATTTTATAGATCATTAATTAAATTATTTTCAAAAGACGTTCAAAGCACAGTTAAGGATATTCTTATATTTTACACTTTTCTTTTTGATCAACATAATGTAAGTGTGCTGAAGTTGTTTAGCTGTAGGTTCAGGTGTGCCGTGAGATAAGAAAGGTTGGAAAATACCGATCTACATGGATTCTGCCCACAGATCTGCCCCCTTGGGATGTTACGGGGCTCAGCTCCAAACCGGGCAGAATTCCACTTGCACATTTCACCCAGTAGAAGTTCCCAGTTGGGATTCCTGGGTTACCTGGATTGAGGGACTTGAATACTCACACTGCTTGTGGCTCCTTAAATTTTCCTACTTGCTGAATGTGGTACATGAGGTCCCCGCCGTTGACGTATTCCATGACAAAGTACAGCCGATCCTGTGGACCAAGGTTCAGCAGGTCAGCGGGGAGGGCCCTTCCCCGGCCAAGCGCTGCCTCCACCCTTCCCAGGCTGAGCTTCGCGTTCTCATTAATAAAATGTGGGCCATGTGGGCAGATCTGCTCAGCGTGGAGCTCTTCAAAATCTTTTTCCCAAGAAAAGAGTAAGTAATAAGCCCTATTGCCCGAGGGCCTTGGGAATTATAAACTCATTACATAACTCTGAAATAATGGCTGTCAGTGTCTCTGCTCCTTCTGGTTATACACAGTAATGGACTTGAATATTCTTCCCCATTTTCCTCCACACATTTCTAAGCTAGGGATGGTGTGAAGAATCCGCATCAGTTAATTATTTCATTTTAACTAGTGCTTCTCCACGGCCCGCATGTTCAAAGGCTGGTTTGCAGGGTCTAGGAGGCGTGCCAAATTAATGGAGCAATGTGTTTAAACGGATGCTCCTGAAAACACATCTCTTGGGCTGGGCTGGGCTTATGAATTATACATGCTTAATGATATTTACTGGGCAAGGGAGAGACGGGACTACTGATGAGGGGCCTAATCAAGTGTTCTTTTGCATCCATAATCCACCCGTTTTATTTTTTTATTTTCTCTGTCACTGATATGCTAAGTGTCGGCCCCATGAAGGGCACGTATCAAATAAATCTGTGTATTGGTGAGGACATAGTGCTGAGACAGATGCAGAGGTTGAGGGGTTTAACAGCAAAATACCGACAACCAAGGAGAAAACCAACCTCTGCTCTCTGCTGGAAGACGTCGCCATTTCACGAAGGTTATTAAACATTAAAGTGTTGCACAGGGAGAAAAAAATGATAAGGCCGGCGCTCACAGCCAGGGAACAGCTCTGGTAGCGCTGATCTTTAGCTCTCCTATTATGAACTTTAATTTCACCTTCATTTCTTTGTTTTGGGGCTTTCCAGAGCTTAATCAGGGTAAGGATCGTTACAGGCTCTGGGCTGCAATGCCGCGCTGTGGTTCTCTCTTCCTAGAATGTTGCCCTTGTTGCCCTGGTGTGATGGATTCCGAGCCCACGGGAGCTGCCACCAGCGCTCACACGCTCACCTGTGCCTGGCTCCGTGGCTTCCATAGCACACCCCGAGGTTCTGTGAGGCTGCGCTGCCATTTTGAGATTCTAAACTCCAAAAGCACTGAGGGGTGCCTCCCAAGAGTTTTTAAAGGGAGATATGAAATAGTCAATTTCTGACGAACAGGCAGTTGAAATAGGAATAATCATAACAGCCACAGTTACAGCCATGATTACTGAGTCATATTTAAAAGGTACCTCCTTGGAGGAGCGGAAAGCCTGTCTCCCACAATGCCTTGCTGGTGCCAACTAAATGTCTTTATTTCTTGTAGGCCACTTCAAAGCCCCACAGCTGATTGATCAGTGCTTTGGAATTTTCTTTGTTGTCTGTTTAGTTTTACTGTATGACAGGAATCAGCAAACCTATTCTGTCAAGAGCCAGATAATAACTATTTCAGGCTTTGAGTAGCTCCTGCAACTACTCAACTCTGTCTCTGGGACCAGGGATGACAAGTAAATAGACGAGCTTTGCAAGGTCCCCCCGAAACTATCTATGGATGCTGAGTAGGGAAGGGCATCTAGTTTCCAAGTGTCATAAAATGTTATTCTTCCAATGTCTCTCCCCCCCACCTTTCTTAGAGCTCAGGGCCACAGAGAACTGGCCGCACTCAGTCTGCCGCCCCTGTTGTGTGGCGCTGAACGAGAACACACTCGTCCACAGAATCAGGTTTCCCAATGTTTCGATGCCATGCTTGGCAGCTGAACCAGTGGGCTTAACAAGCTGTGCGTTATTTCACTGTTTTTATATCCCCAAGTCTTGGTGCATTACCTAGAATGAAGCAAACCTTTCATGTAACTGTCCACTGAATTAAGCAGCATGAATGTGAAGCCTCTAAGCAGAGGACATCACGAAGGCAGAGGGACGAGAGGCTGTCCCCTGTCATCTCTGCATCATCACATGACACTTCTCTCTAGCTCTCTCCATGAGAACAAGGATGCAGAGACGCTTCGGCTCAGGCACAGCCCTGAGAGCACGCAGGGACACACCCCTTGGGTCCTTACCACCGTTTGGAAGCAGGAGTGCAGCTGCGTCAGGAACGGGGGCTTGTCCAGCAAGGCCAGGACGCGCTTTTCCACCATGGTGCACTCCACATCGTCGTCCTGAATCACCACGTCCTTCTTCAGGATTTTGATCGCATACAGCTCTTCCGTCCCCTTCCTGTCGGCAAGCATCACCTAGGGACAGATGGAGCATGACCTGCACACCTCTGAGCATCCATCCACTCCCGGGGGTGGGGGGACGGAACCTGGCAGGTGACGGGTCAGCGATGGCTCATGCAAATGTGTACTGTGTGATATATAAAGATGGTAATACACTTTATATGCAAATTTTAAAATATCCCATGACACCACCAATTAAACCTCTCTGGCATTTGTGTAGCTTCTAAACTGTTGAGATTTGTATGGCGTGTAGGCCGTTGATACATGATGGTGCAAATTTGGCTGCTAAAATGATTTATACTTGACATCCTATCCTGAGGCTAGTCTGGAAGAACAAGGTGACCGACCTTTATAACCTCATGAGTCAGGAACCCAGACAAAGACAAAGGCTCAGAATCAGTTCCTGGAACTATCATGAGATCTGGGCCCATAGAAGGCAAATGGAGAACTCTGGGTGGCTTTATTAAAGACCCTGCTTCACAATCTCATAATGGTCACGTTTGCTCACTACAGGTTAATTTTTAGTTCTGCAAATTACTCCTTCAGACATTTCAGAGCACCCCTTTCCATTCTGCACTCTGTGGAAGGGTGATGCCCACTGAGCGACTCCACTGCAGCTTTTTAGGTACAGTTGTTTTTAATGAAATAAAGTAGGAAACACCCAAGGAAATATGCACGAGCCCCAGGGAAATCGAAAGGGCTGTTCCAGAGAATGTGTGAGAGTGAAGCTGATCCAGCATTCTCTGCAAAAGTCCCTCCACCCCCCCCCCACAACAACTGTCCTCTTACCTTCCCGAAACTCCCCTTCCCCAGCACCATGAGGAAATTGAAGTCACTGAGTTTCACTCGGTCAAGGTTGTTAGAAGGTTGCTTCCTGTCCTCCGAAGGACTGATTACTTTATTACCAGCAGGGCCGAGCTTGGCTTTCTGAACAACAAGCACAAATGTGGAAAGCATGGGTCATATTTCTGGCAAAGGGTTGACAGAGCAAAGCACAGGTGTATCTGAGCTTGAGGCTCCCTTGGAGGTGGGATGGGAAGAGAAAGAGAATTGAGGGTGAGAAGTTACTATGTGTTCACGTATCAGTGGCCGTACCTGCCCTGAGGGGAAAGTCTGCCAAGTAGCAGAAGACTGCCCTTCCCTTTCACAGGGACTATATCCTCAACCAAGAATCAGCAGGAGAGCCGGCCAAGGGCAGGTTGATTCTAATTCTGGAACGTAAAAGTTAACCTCTTGGGGGAAACAGCGCTTCAGAGTAGGACTGGTAACATAATGAAGGAAACAAACTGTGTACTGATGTTTTTCTGATTTGTCGATTTTCCCATCTGAAATTAATGTGCATGAAGGAAATTTGTACCCATGCAAAAAGGGAGAAGGATGCCCTCTGGAGAGGAAATGTTTAAACGGCAAGATGTGGGGGATGATTAATTGCTATTTTCAAATGCACAGTAAGAACGGGGCTTCTATTATTTTAAGGTTAAAAGAAATAGAGACCATGTGCTCTGCCCTTGAAGCCTGAAGAGCACCTGCTCAGGATGTGTGAGCTGCCCAGAGATTTCTAAACAAGACCCTGCCGCACACAGGCCCAGAGGGGCCTCCTGACTCCCCCCAGGAAGGCAAAGAGTAAGAGGGCTCAGTAGAAAAGGGAAGGCAAATGAGATGCCAAGGGAGCCCCTGGAGAAACCAGAGGAGTCTCGATTGGGTGGCAAGTCCTGCCTCCAGACCCTGCGTGCAGAACATGGGCCTGGGGACGAGGCAGCTGGCTGCAGGATGCATCAGTTGCTGATGAAGACCCTTGCTTTAGATGCACTCTCAGAGAGGGTGCATCCCTCCCCAGGGCAGCAGACAGCACCAGTGTGGGCTCAGGGCTCGGGAGCAGCTGCCAGGCACTCACTCTAGTCAACGACTTCGCGGCTACTGTGAAGATGGTGAAGGGGTAAGGAAGGCACTCAGGGGCTTTGTGGTGGACCAGGTATGAGTAAGACTGAATCTTAGCTCTAGGAGAAAACACCGACTCGCCATTTTTCTCTTTACCAGCAGAGAAAGCTTACAAGGAGTCCTCTGTAATCCTTCCTTGACCACCAGCACCCCTTCACCCCACAATTACTGGGCAGGCCCCTGTTGTGCCAGGCTGTTCTGGGGAGACTTTGTGTGAGCAGAATGAGCCCCGTCAGTGTTGCTGGACTCCTGATGCCAGCGCAGCGCTCGGCATAGGGTCTGCCATCGATGCCTGCGTGTGTGTCTCAGCTGCTTTGCTGCTGTGTGAGGCTTTTCTCTGATAAAAATAACCTGTTTGGGGCGGTGCCTGTGGCTCAAGGAGTAGGGCGCTGGCTCCATATACTGGAGGTGGCAGGTTCAAACCTGGCCCTAGCCAAAAACTGCAAAAAACCCCAAAAAACTTGTTTGTATCGTGATCAAGCCTCACGTTTTGAGAACATGCTCTGATAAACTGAGTGCACCTGTTTAAGCCGAGCTATTAAAATGTAGGGGAGAGATGACCACAATGCTTTTGCTTCAAGGCTGAGAGTATCCAACGTGGTTTCACTGGTTTCCCTGACTGAGAGGATGAGGTCCCGTCCTCTAACGGACCCAGGGGGAGACTCTCACTCCCACTGTCTCTCTATCTTAACCCTCCCCACTCCCCGCTCAGCCCCTGTGCCAGCCTCGCCATCCTTTGCAAGTCCCCAGATGCCTTCTGCTCACCATCACCCTCAGAGCGTCTCCTGCAGCCCCTACATATACTCGATCCCCTTCTTAATCCCGTTCCGCCCCAGTGCCTTGAGTTTTCCCCAAGAACTAACCCATCACCACCTGACTGTGAGTTTCTGAAGGCAGGCTCCTCGCTGCTCTGTCCAGACTCACAGTCCAGCTCAAGCAGCCCTCTCCGTCTCTCTGGAATTTCCAACCCTTGCAGACACCATCTGTGCCTTGCCCATAGCCCTTAGCTCTGCACACCTGAGGCTGTGTGGGGGCTCAATTTCATGAGTCACTGTGCCATCAACCAGCCACAACTTTCTGCCAGTTGCGGACAGGAGCGTCCTGCAGACTCTTCCGCCAGCTCCTGGCAGGACTAAGCTCCAGCTGCCCGCAGTGGTAACCAGCCTAATAACACACTGGCCTGGCTCCCTCTCCTTCCCTGGGTCACATCCCTAGAGCCCAGCTGGGCCTCTGTGGATCCCTTCTCTAATGAATTTGTTTATGACTCTTGCAATCGTCCCTCTACCGCTAATCTAACAGCAGGTCGTACCTAACCTATCTTCAAGTTACACCATCTCTGGCCCATCCTCTGCCTCCACACCCCACCTGCAGGCTGCTCTCAGGGTGAGTCAGCTTCTGGGGAACCTAAACAAACCCGTGCTCCTTCTTCTCTGACTTACTGATCTGCCCTCTTCACTAGACTGAGATCCTAGAGGTAAGGACAAAATGTTACTCAAGTTTGTATCTTTAGACTAAGTCAGACACGAGGCACACAGTTAGAACTCACTGAATCATCTCTTCATTCATTCATCCACTCATTCACGTGTTCAGTTAGCACTAGCCCTGATGGAATTTGCAGAGCCAACCTGTGGCCAGCACTACTCAGCCAGATGACAAACTTCACTGTAAAAGAGCAGTGATGCTCTTAGGTGGACCACTGCAGACACCACCTACCCTGACTGTGTGCATTCACACAGCTATAATCTGAGCTTCTTTCCTCCATCCATCGCTGGTCACACTGGGATAGCTACAGAGAAGTGCCAGGATGTTCATGCCTTAGGGTGGTCAGCCACACAATGCTTCTCTCCAAGGCCTCACTGGACTAGTTTGCTAGGCCAGCAAGCAGAAACCACACCCTTGGCCCAGTTTCTCTGAGGGACATTCCCCCGATGACAGGTCCTCCTTGTCCAAGATGCAGCTGGACTCTCTGCCAAAACGGGACAATGGATCCCCCTAAGCTGACTATTTTTTTCCCTGAGCTTTTTTTTAATGTGTTGTTTGGCAATGGGTCTCCCAGCGGATGAAGAGACCTGCCCTTCCTGGCTTGCTGCACACTGTTGACATAGCTTAAGTTTTCACCAATGTAATTCAGACCCTACCAGGAGGGCAAATAAAGTCTATGTATGTTTAGGCATAAAAGCAGAAGCCGATAGCCTAACGGCAGAGATTTCAGGAAACCCAAGGAGGCGTAAGAATAAGCATGCTGGCATCCTATCCTCTAGCAAGGGGGATGTGTCAGACGCCCTTCTGGGACACGTGAGTGAATGGGGATTCCAGTTGCAGAGTCTGAAAAGCAGAATGTCTCCTGAAAATTGATACCTGGAGACAAGCATGGACAGGCCACTGACCTAAACTAGGTGTCAGCCCTCAGTGACGCTCCTGCTGATCCGCCCCGAATCCTGAGTTCCACCTTGTCCCCTGGTTATGCAAAGAAAGTGTGAAGGATCAGGCTGCCAGTAGCCGTCAACAGGGCGGAGACCTATGGCTCTGGGCACCACATTCTCTGCCCTGCAGGTGAAACTCCTGCCCAGCTCTGAGCATGTCTGCTGAGTTCTTTGAAAGACAGGAGCATGGAGAGCGGCAGCTGAGAGCTCAGGGCGTGCACATGACTGAACCAGGCATGGCTGAGTGACAGTGGGGAGGCCCTTCCCCGGTAAGAGGAGATGATTCTCATGATGTTCTCAGCACTGGGCTCTTGGGAGGAGTACAGGATATGGACATGGGCCTGGGACCCAGAGAGTGCTCAGTGCTGGGTGCCTCTGATTATTTTTTTCCTGTTCACCTCTACTTTCTCAAGGGGGTCCAGTGGAGCCCTGGGAGAGGGCTCTTGCTCAGGACACATTTCTTGTTAAACTTGTAAGTCTCTGGGTCATAATTTAGGATATTCATGAATTTGTCCTACAAATATAAATATCTGTGTGTCTGACATACTCCAGGCATGGTGCCGGGGCTGGAAAAACCAAGATCAATGAGAAGTCGCCTCTCCTCTGAAGAACTTGCAGTGCAAAGGTCCTGTGGTCTCTGTCACTGCTACCCAAAGCATGGTCCTCAGACCAGCAGCACCTGGAGGCTTATGTGAAATGCAGACTCCTGGGCTCCAACCCAGACCTCTTGAATCAAAACATGTCTTTTGATCCTTGAGTGGCTCCTGTGCACCCTTAAGTTTGAGAAGTGCTGGTCTAAGACAGCTGGCACATTACTCCAAATTGAAACATCCCTCTCGGATTCACTGGTCCCCAAGGTACTTTCCACCTTTGACAAACTTCAATTATTATATAAAACCAACAGGCAACTTTAGAAAGTACCCTGAACTTGGATTTCAAAGACTTGGATTAAGTCTTGGCTTTAACTATATTTGCTGTGTGACTCTGGGCAAGTGACACTGCTTCTCTGTGTCTCAGGCACATTGTGGTTTATTGGCTGTGATTCAACAACTCAGAATCCTGGCTCTTCAGCTTCCTGAAAATATGACACCTTAGCATTTGGTCAAATCTGGCATTGTGATGACACCTGAGTCACCAGGCTGTGAGACCAAGCAGTGTTCCCTCCTCGTTAGCAAATTCAGTAATAACCGACATTCACTTTATACTGCAGATACATTCCAGAAGAATCATCCCGTTTGCAATCATTAGAGATGTTCACAATTCGGAGGGCTCCTAGAGTGGCAGGAGAAACCCAGAGTACGGCAAATGACACAGAGTGAATCTGACCACTACAAACCCCAGTTCTCCCAGGTCGGGCCGGAGCCTGGTACCTGTGTATATGAAAACGCCTGAGCCAGAGAGGCTTCTGTGGAGGGGCTCTCCACATTCAACTCCCTATTAGGGTTTTTTCAAATTAAAATTGAGAGAAGGTTGCCACAAGCGACTTAAATTGCATGTCTATGAGGGACTAGTTGGTTGGAGATGTTCATCTTCTAATTAGGTTAAACGTTTGCAACTGCTGAGCTG